TTCTGCATCATTCAATAATTTGCCCAGTGAATCTTTCAATAGCGAAAGTCGAGGCTTGAATTTTTTCTTCAGTTCCCCCAGCTTGAGAAATATATTGAAATAGTCGTTGTTAACTGCCATCAAGCCAGTTCAGACCCATAGCAATCCTATATAGGGTTTCCAAGGAGCAGCTGGTTGAGCTTGAACTGCCGACCTTACAGTCCAGCACATTAACCCACAGCGCCACACCAGTAGAAGTGAAATAATGTGATATCTGAGATTTGTTTAAAAATACTCCAGAACAAAGGAAAAGTGTTGGCTATAACACGATCATTGTTGAAGATAAGTGTTAAATATATATGGGGCTCATTATATTCTACTTTTAAAAAATACTTGTTCTTTTCACACACACAAAAAAGAAAAGTAACACCAATAGTTATTAGTAATGTAATACTTACCTGCCTCGACTGCCAGTACTAGAGGTACTTGGAGGTCTCACAGGTGTGTGAGAATTAGATAAACCTAAAAAATGATAATGAAAATGAGCATCAATGCAGATTAATAACAAAATTCCACATACCAGTTACAAAACTCGAGTCCTGGTATGGCACTGTAGGATAAGCCTCAGATTGCTAACAGTAAAGTTGGCAGTTCAAATCCAGCAGCTGTTCCTCTGAAATCTTATACCGGGTTACTATGCATCAGAACAAGCTCAACGGCATTTTAGCAACAGTTACAGAATTCAAGATAATCATAATCCAATTCAGCAATTCTTGGTAATCAGACCTAGTCCATAAATCAGGATAGCATATATAACATTAGCACACATCTACCACAGTTTTCTCACACCTCAGACACTACATCAGAATCTTCAGAGCAACACTATCTAATCAGTGAAAACTGTCAGATATAAACAAAACTCCTGCCCATTCTTCTGCACTCATCTGGCAAAATATCATACTTAGATTTTTGTTAACTATTCTTTCCTTCAGAAATTATGAAATAATTCATTCAAGTATGTGACTTAAAAATACATTAATGATGCATCTTACCCCAAACCCACATTTACATTCAAATTACTCTTCCTCAAGAAATAACCAAGTAGTCTGTTTCAGTGAGAAATAATATTTAATCTATAAACAGAAAAATATAATCCATAACATTTTCTAAACTATCAACCTGATTGGACTTTTTCTATCATTCATTCATAAGAGTCCCAGCTGAATCACCTAGTAATAGAGTTAATAAGACAACTGTGATTTTGGAAGGAATCTGCATCAAATGGACATGATTAGCTGAAACCAAGAATTTTCAACTGACATCATTACTGTAAAAATGAGACATGGGAACTAGTATACTGTTAAGTGCCAGGGAGTTGGTTCCAACTCAGAGCGACCCTGTGTAGGGTTTCTGAGGCTGTAAATCTTTGCAGATCGTTCTCCAGCAAGCAGACAGTGGGCTCGAACTGCCAACCTTGTGGTTTGCAGTCCAATATTTATCCTACAGAGCCACTATGCTCCCATGGGAAGCAGCTGGTGAATCTGAACTGCCAACGATGTGGTTAGCAATCTAGGGTTTATCCTACAGCACTGTATCAGGACTCCATGGGACAAACAAGCGTCTAAAAATCTGTAAAACTAGCAAAGGATGTAAAAATAGGCTGGTAGGGTGATATGGGAGCAGTACTTTAAACTTTTGAACAGTAGAGACTACGTGTGTATGTTAACACTACTTCTAAGTACCTAAGGACTATCAATAATATTTGAACCAATATAATTAGAGCAATCAGAAAAATTATTATCTGACACTAAGAGATACTTTTTAGAAAAATATATGAGGCAGTGTGCTTTACCTGATGATCCAGGAGACAGGGCAGAGGGTCCTGGGGAGGGATTCATGGTGCTTGTAGGCTGTGGGGGTAAGTGGCTGCCTGAGATATATCTGCTTAGTAGATTATCTAAACTACTTGAACCAGCATCTTCCAACTGAAGAGAAAGAAAAATAAATTTACTGTGATTAAAGCAGAGAAACTATTCACTTCATTAGTGCTATCATTTATGCTCATAACTTCCTAATAAGTTAACCGTTTATACAATATCAAATTCCGCTGAAATGTTGCTTGCTTAGATTCTCCTTGAGAACCCACATTAATATAAAGTTTATGTGAATTATAACTAATTATATTCAACAAATACAAGGTTAAGTCAAAAAGTATTGCTACTAGGGTTCCAGATCATGTATGTATGGGTCGATTCCAAACAAAATGCATCTAAACATGTGTCTGTAATCAATGGATGGCTGCAGACAAGTTTTATGTTGTTGTTGTTTTAAGTGCCATCGAGTCGATTCCAACCCATAGTGACCCTGTACAGTGTTTCTGAGGAGCAGATGGTGAACTTGAACCACCAACCTTGCAGTTCAAACGGCTTTGCAGCCTGACACATTAACCCACACCACCACATGTAATAGTCTAGTTGTCTTTTTAAAAAAAATTTTTTTAAAAAGGTCAAATCAAAACAATGGCTTCCAGGGGAACTTGCTGAGCCAGTTAAATTCAAGACAGAGAGGTGATCTCAGAATATTATGCCAATTGTTTTCGGGGGGAGGAGGGGATCCCAAATGCGCAATCCTGACAGATTTTCTCAAAGGACATAGTTTGACCATGAAGGCTTATTCTGAAGATATTTTAAGAAAATTGAGAAATGCAAAGATCAGGAAAGTTGTGTTGGAGAACTGTTTCGTCATGACAATGTACTACTCATTCTTCCAGGGTATCAAGGCTGTGTTATGAGAATTTCAATGGAAAGCTTAGCCCACCCATCCTACAAGTTGTGCTCTTGTCCCCTCAGACATCAGTTGTCAAAACTCAAAGAAAAATGAAACAGAACATGACTGTCAAATCCCTCAAAGATGTCAAATCTGCCATTTTGATGTGGTGTAAAAAGGTTCTTCAGGAAAAGATTGTTGTTGTTGTTGTTGTTAAGTACCATGGAGTCGGTTCCGACTCATAGCGACCCTGCACAGGGTTTCCGAGGCTGTATATCTTTACGGGAGCAGAACGCTTCATCTTTCTCCCGCAGAACCACTGGTAGTTTCGAACTGCTGACCTTGCGGTTCACAGCCCGATTTGTAACCATTACGCTACCAGTTGCTATTGTTAGGTGCCATTAACTCAGTTTCTACTCAAAGCAACCCTATGCACAAGAATGAAACACTGTCCAGTTCTTTGCCATCCTCATTACTGTTTTTACTACTGTACCAATCCATCTTATTGAGGATCTTCTTTTCATGGACCCTCGATTTTACCTAGTATAGTGTCCTTCTCCAGGGACTGGTGGTCCCTCCTGATAAGATGTCTGGAGTATGAGAGATGAAGTCTCGTCATCCTGGCTTCTATAGACAGAGCATTCTGGCTATACTTTTTCCAACACAGATTTGTTTGTTCTTCTGGTACTTTTATTATTCTTCTCCAAAACTACAGCAAATGCATCAATTCTTCTACAGTCTTCGTATTTATTGTACAACTTTCACATGCATGTGAGGTCACTGAAAATACTATGACTTGGGTCCGGCATGCCTAAGTCCTCAAACTGATTATCTATGCTCTTCAACACTTTAAAGAGGTTTTCTGAAGCAGATATGCCTAATGCAATATGTCATTTAGATTTCTTGACAGCTGCTTCCATGAGTGTTGATTGTGGAATTCAAGCCAAATTAAGTCTTCAACAACTTAAATCATTTATCCACTTATTCAAATGTTACTTACTGGTTCAGTTGTGAGGATTTTTGCTTTCTTTACATTGAGTTGTAAAGCCATACTCTGATCTTCAGCAGTAAGTATAGGAAAAAGTCAAGACAGACTGAAACATTATCTTCAAAAGTGCAGACCTAGATAAAGGGTATGCTGAGAAACAATAGCTTCATATTTTTATATTTTTGTTTAATAAAGGTTTCTATGATTTTGTAGCAATATTTTTTTGACTTACCCTTATAATACCCAAGACAAAACCCAATGACCCACTAATTTGACATAACTCCAACACTTTTGCCTTTCTCCAAAACTGTTACAGGATTCATTTATCGATATCTTTGTCCCCAGTCTCCTTTCTTCTATTTCAATTGTCCACAGTCTGCCAGATTCATTCACCTAAACAGAAATCTACTTATGTCAAGAACCAGCTTTAAGCCTATAATAAGTCCTTACAATCAACAAAATGCCCTTAGTCTAACATAAAAGACCCCTTTATTATCTAAACAAAAGGGAAAGCAATCAGAGAGTTGAGTCCTTTTCTGACTCAGAGGTAGTAAAAGTAGGATAGAGCCAGAGAACCTGGCATTGTGATTTTAAACTGGTTCCCAAATTGAAAATCAGCTTCCTAGTCCTGAAATCATGTTGCTGTAACGTAGAACTGTGGTGATTAATAAATATTTGTGTAAGAACAGATAGTATTTAAACATGCAGATCACTGTAAATTGAAATTATACACAATTCTATATGAAAGATTGTCAAGTTGTTCTAGGTTCATGTAATTGATACCATTTTGCTTCCTGGTTTCTCTATAACCACACTTGCCTCCTTTCAACTTTCTCTCCCTCTAGAGCCATGATTTTCTCTCAGAAAAGTGACAACATGCAGTTACTTCTTATGTTCCTTCCCTCTGAAAATTCTACTGATTTTCATAACTATAAAACTGTAAAGGAGGACATCAGGAGGAAACTCTGGATATAAACCAAAATAGAAATGACTTGATTAAAAAAAAAAAAATCACAGTGGAGCATCTCAAAACCACAGGCAGGGGAGGACACTTCTAATCAAAATCTTTCAATATCCCAAGGTAAGAGACATGATGAACTGAAGGTCATAGGGTAAGTAGTGGGATTAGAGGAGACACAAAGAACTTCAACAGCTGTGCTTGTCCCATGGTCACAACAGCTAAAGCCCACTGGAGTATTTATGAAGAGAAGAGAGCTAATGCAGGCCACAGATGTAAGTGGGACTACATCCCACCTAAGAAGAAATAAGGGGGAGGAGTTATATACGGTTCAATAGTCATTAAAATCCCATGCTATCTACCTCTATCCTCACTGCTTTTATACGCTCCATCTACAAAGAGACATCCCTGCAGCTAGAAGAGAGAAGAACCAGGTTAGGAAGGCATATGTAAAACGTACACAAGGGGGGGAGGAGGAGGAAGAGGCTTCAAAAAGTTGATGAAAAGTTCCTTTATCTTTCCATTCCATTTTCCCATGAACTTTTTGAAGTCCTCTCGTATATAAAGGCTTCCTGACTCCATTGCAGCATCCAGTTTTCACTAGACCAGGACAAGAGTACGATACAGATTAAAGACTAACTTGGAAAAAGTGTATTCATTAAATCAGTGTTTTTTTGTGTGTTTTCCCCTAATGTGTTCTTAGCAACATAGCAGTTAACCTAAGTCCTTAATACAGGTGGCACGAATCTAGTCTCCCCTATTTATAGACACATATAGCTGCTCAGCTAATTATATTTCCCAGTCTCCTGTACATCTGCTGTGGCTGTGTATGACTAAGATCTTGCCAATGAAAGGTGAGAAAAAGTGATGTGTACAATTTTCAAATCACATGGCTAAAAGGAACTCTCTTGTCAGGGACTCTCCTTTACTCTTTGTGAGCTGGAAATTACAGGTCAGATCAGAAAAATGCCCTAGGGCAGGGTCTGGATATCTTTAATGTAGAGGACCAGAGAGCAAATATTTTAGGCTTTTCTGGGCCACATATAGTCACTCACACATATTCTTTTTTTTTTTTTTTCCCCTAAATCCCTTTAAACACATTAGAAACAAAATGGAATTGAGTCCCTAAATTACGACATGGACTATATGTGTTACGTAAATAATTCCTGTGGACTGAAAGAAAAAAAGACAATCCTAACAGAAAAGTGAGCAAACAGTTTTAAGTAGACAACTCAGAATAAATAAAAATAACCAATGAAATCCATTCAACCTTTAATAAATGTTGCTGAGAAAATGGAAATACCACAAGCAGAAGAATGAATCAGGAAACAAGTCTCACACCATACGCAAAAGCTGATTCAAAATGAATGAAGAACCTAAATATGAAAGCTAAAACCATTAAAATTCTTAGGAGAAAATGTAAGGGTGAAGCTATGGGGCCTAGTTTTTTAGCAATGGGCTGTCAGATATGTCAACAAAATCACAATCAGCAGAAGATAAAACAAGGAATTGAACCCCTTATAAAAGTTAAATATTTTTGTTCATCAAAGGACTTTATCCAAAAAAGTAAGAATATTGGAAGAAATTGTTTAGAATCTAATATCCAAAATGTATACAATATTTCTACAACCAACAACAAAAATTCAAACAACCCAATCATAAAATGGGAAAAGGATTTCCACAGATATTTTACAAAAGAGGATATTCAAATTGCCAACAGGACATGAAAAGACATTCGACATCATTAACCACTGTTGTTACAACTGCCCCACAGGGTTTTCTGGGTTGCAATCATTATGGAAGCAGAATACCAAGTCTGTCTCCTGTGGAGCTGCTGGGTGGGTTCACTTAACCAATGTGAACACCAGGGTTCCTTCATTAGCCGTTAAACCTGCTGTCACTGAATCAAGTTCAACTCATGAGGATCCTATAGGGTTTCCAAGGATGTAACAACTCTTTGCAAAAGGAGACTGCCCCACCTTTCTCTAGAGGAAAAGCCGATGGACTTAAACCACCAAGCTTTCCGTTACTGTTTAACCACTATGCCACCTGGACCATCATTTGCCATTAGGAAGATGGTAGAAGCCAAAAAACATTATGAGACACCATCTCTCCCCGTGAGTGTGACAAAGAAAAAGGGCTGTGTGTGTGTTTGTGTGTAAAACAGGTGTTGGTGAAGCTTCTCAATACTATACTTTTTATTTTTATGACTTCAATCTCAAACTATATCTCTTTGTTATCACTATGGACAGTGAAAAGATCTAAACTTAAAGTCAGAAGTCTGGGCTTTGAATTTCAACTTTTTCATTTATTTTGTGACTCTGGGAAAGTCAGAGACCACTCAGACTTCTCCATCAAATGAGGGTAATAATACATATGAGGTGCTTTCAAGCCCTGAACTGATATACTATCAGTGAGAATGCACTGAAAATTATAACTTAGAAATTATGTATTTTTAGTATATTCTAAACATTTCCATTCTACATAGTCCAGTCCTCTTTTTAGCAACAAAATAACATTCATTTAGCTAAAAAAGATTTCACCTAGTATCAGGAAAGCACTATAGAAAATTCACAACAAGTTAATCACCTTCCAACAGTTTTGAAGTTACAGAAACACCTCTCAAACAAACTCTTATATAAAACCAAAAAATAAATGAAAATACTAAAGCACAGCCAAAGAATGTGCCAAGGGTCCTACTGGTCCAGCAGTATCCCTGCTCTTTGTTCCCACAGTGGCCCTTGACTCCTAACTTATGAAGTGCAACTCTCTCAATTTACATATAAAAAATAAAATGACTTGATTCAAATGAAATTTCTGAAATTTCAGAGATATTTTTCATCAGGGAAATGTCATAGGTGAAAGGGAGAAGAAGCCTCAGAGGTCCTTAATATTTTAATCCTTATCATAAACTAACCCGTGCTCCCCCAAGTATGTGTCAACTTGGCAGGGTCATGATTCTCAGTGGCTTGGCAGCAGTGAAATTATGTAATGTGGCAGTTATGTGATGATTCCTCATAATGTAATCTGATAAAATAAGCCAATAAAAGGATTAAGGGTGGGCTACAATAAACTTAATCCCATCACAACCCTGATCCATTGTTGTAGAACTTCCCAGGGGCGTGATATAACACATCTTTTATCTTAAAAAGCTAAAAAGGACAGAGAAGTGAGCAGAGAAAGAGGGGCCAGGAGTGGGCTAAGGCCCCTGCACCATGAAACTTCTAGATCCATGGCAAGAGTGATGCCAAGGCACATGGAAAACTCCCAAGAAATGTTGGACATTCAGATACTGAAAGGAGACAACAATCTTTCCTCAAAGTCTTCCACTAGAGCCAACACTCTGAATTTGTAATTCTAGCTCCTAAACCAAAAGAGAATAAATTTATTTAAGACATCAATTTGTGATATTTGTTACAGTAGCACCAGATAACTAAAACACTCCACTCCCTCCTCTCACTCTTACTTTCCCTCAGTATATTTTAATTTAAACCTTCCTTCCAACCTATTTTCTTCCCATTCTGACCTCATTGCATTAGGAACGACTATCCCTGTGGATTTAACAGAAGAATGACAAAGCGTTGGCTATTATTTGGTCCTAGGTCTTTTCTCTGACTCCAAACACAAACTAGAAGTGCTTGAATTCAACACAAGGTTTGCTGTTGGCAAATGATATAAAAAGGGAGGAATTGGTCTGTTAGCAAAACTGAGATTAATCCATTATTGTACCTTTGTTTAGACAGTCTTATAATTTGCTAGTCATGCATTTGGTTTCTTACAACTTTAAATCTTAAGGAATGCTAGTTTAGCACAAGTAACTCATTAAAATTACAATATGTATACTTAACTGCTTAGAAAATTTTTAATGTTGGTCCTGATTTTTTAAAAATAAATAAATACATATTGTAATTTCCTAAATCACATGAAGTTTTAAACACCTCATTCAAATAAACCATACAAACATACAAACCTGTATGGGTGGAATGTCTGGCAGTGATGGAAGGTTTTCTGGATTGGTAACTGAGGGGATAAGCTCTATTGCTGTAACAGATGGGCTGGTGGGACCTCGGTTTGCATTTGCCATAGTAGCTATAGTAGGGCTGGTTGGGTTGATTGTGGTGTTGTGCACTGATACCACAGGAAAGGGTCCAGCATGCCCTGGATTTGAGTGCTGTTAGGAAAGAGGACATTCCCATTACTTGATCTGCCAGAATACCCTAATATGAACTATACCTTTAAACTTTTTTTTAAAGGCTATACCTTGTCTCAAAAACAAGAAGTGGGCCCTCTTGAACTTATATAGAAAGAAAAGAGTAAGTCAAACTTAGCCTTTTCATTTTCCTATAGAATCTAGGGGAAATCAATCCTGTCAATTAGCCTAGTGATAACCTTATTTTAGAATTGTGAAGTGCCATTGAGTCGGTTCCGACTCATAGTAGACCCTGTATAGTTTCCAAGGAGTGGCTGATGAATTTGAACCACTGACCTTGTGATTCAAACCAACCTTGCAGTCCAGTGTTTTATCCCACAGCGACACACCAAGACTCCTATTTCAGAATAGGGGTGGATATATAATACATGATCTGAAAGCCCTCAAGTTTTCAAACAGCAGGCTAAAAAGCTAATGTTCTATCTATATTTCATTAACTGTTTCCTTTTAAAAAAATAAATAAATAAAAGGATTGTACAATGCTGCTTAATATGGCAGAAAAGAACACTGAATTTGTAGAAAGGATATATGACATAAATTCCTGACTCTAATATTGGGTGGCCTTGATCAAGTCACATTTTGGTAATGCACAAATGGAGATGGTAATACTTCGCCTATGTGACTTTGAGGATTAGGATGGTCATTTGAGATAATATAGACAAAAATTTTTTAAATAAATTATTATTCATAGTTAAATACACAGTTTACACTACCCCAGGGGCAATCTACACATATAATACTTTAAAATGCTAATATTCTATGATTTCTATGTTGTTGTTGTTGTTAAGTGCCGTACAGTCAATTCCGACCTATAGAGACCCTGTATAGGGTTTCTAAGGAGCCCTTGAACCACCGACCTTGAAGTTCAAACGACTTTGCTGTCTGATGCATTAGACCACAGAGCCACACCAGGACTCCTATAGGAACACCATAAAGTCTGAAAACAATGCCCTAAGGTGATGGATTAGTCTGATTCTCTAGCTTCTGCACTCTTCTAAATGGGGCACTGAGACAGCATTAAGAAAATGGAATGTCCCAGATTTTCAACTTTCATGTGCACTTTTTCCTAAAGACAACTCAATTTGCCTAAAATTGTACCAGGGTCTGCAAATTCTCTCCCTTTACTCATTTGATCTCACCCCATCCCTCACCCCCCACCCTCCCACAAAAACAACACAATCCCAATCCATTGCTAATTTCACGGCAGCACACTGCCCTATGGGGCAAAAAATTTCTACAGTGGTAAGCAAAGGTATGATTGAAAATTATGGCATCAGGCACTGAGTACTCCAAAACCTAACTGATCATCTAATTGGTTCAAAACTTGATGCTTAAAAAAATTAAGAACTAATTAGCAATGAGATTTTTAGAATCTTTTGAGAGATCATTTTGAGTTATGACTTAATAACCTAGAGAAAATGCAACAAATTCAGGAACACTGCTTAACTACCAGAGTATATTTCTGTGAACAAGTTTTCTGAGTATAATGGAAAAACAGAATAGACAAATTTGTAGTAAATATTGACGCTGAACCTGACTTATTCTATACCAAGTATCAGTGATTCAAAAATGTATTAATGAATAAGAAAAGAAAATAAGGATCCATCGATCACATACAGATATGCACATACAAAAGAATTTTTTTAACTCATGTTTTCTAGTATTCTTATACCATGTAAACATATTTAGATTACTTAAGGTTATATATTGTTGTTGTTGTTGTTAAGTGCCATCGAGTCGGTTCCGACCCATAGCGACCCTGTACAGGGTTTCCGAGGGTGTAAATCTTTACGGGAGTAGAAAGCCTCATCTTTCTCCCGTAAGGTTATATATAGTCTTTGGAAATTTAACCAAAAAAAATTTGATTAAAATAAATATTTTTGCTTCACAAAATCACAACAGGCTGGTATTTCAGTCTTCCAAGCATAAATAGGAAATATCTTTTTTTTTTTTTTTAAAAAAAAAAAAAGCAAATTCAAGGAGAAAAGAGTGTAGTAGTATGACTTTTAAAGAAGAGCCTGTTATGGTATTTGGAATTCCAGTGGGTTCCTTTAAAAGAATGATCTAAATGTTTTACTCTATAATGTCAACATTTATAATACGCTAGAAATTATGGTCTTTATGACAATTAACATTTCTAATGAAAATTTTAAATGTCAACCTTAAAATGAAAGGGCGTGGATATTTTTCAAAAGTTGGTAACCAGTTGCCATCTCACAAGTCAGAGTAAGGTTTTTAAATGTTTTTTAAAATAAAGTAGATCCCCAGGCCTTTTTTCTGAAGAATCTCTGGGTGGAGTCAAACCTCAAAACTTTCAGTTAGCAGCTAAGTGTGTTAACTGTTTGTACCACCCAGGAACACTTCCTTCAGGAGGTAGGTACTTCAAAACCCACTGCCACTGAGTCAATTTTAAGATTTAAAACAACCCTGTAGGGCAGTGTTAACTGCTCTAAAGGGTTTCTGAGACGAAATCTTCCAAGCCTGTAAATGAGAAAGATTTCCTATGGATCAGATGGCAGGTTTGAACCACTAACCATCTGCTTAGCCCCATTGTACCACCAGGGCTCTTTGTTCTCTAAGACAGTGGTTCTCAAATAGTATGCAGACTGGCCTGAAAGATGTAGTAAATGTTTACATATTCCTGAGTACTCCCTTCTTCTGGAAATTGTAATTCAGTGAGTATGACTCACAATCTGCATTTCTGACAAGCTCCAAGCCCCATCTCAAACCCAGCCATGACTCTGATGATTACTAAAGCATTCTTTGAAAACTATAATTCTATACATTATAGAGCTAACTTTACTACCCCATAATTACAAATCCTATGTAAAACCAGCCTCATTTTATAGCAATACTTTCTACACAAATATAATACACTATTCAGTCAAAGACTGAGAAACATATCTTATTTCTAAAACTGGGCATATCAACATTCTAAAAGAAATTGTTGTTAAGTGCCATGGAGTTGGTTCCAACTCATAGGGACTCTGTTTAGGGTTTCTGAGGCTGTAAATCTTTGTGGACACAGAAAGCCTCATCTTTCTTCTGTGGAGCAGCTTGAACCACCAACACCTGTGGTTCACGATCTGGCGCTTATCCTACAGAGCCACAATATTTCCCTTTCCCCCAAGAAAGTAGAAAGAGAAATACAAACAAGCATAGCTCTATTACTTTCAAACTCTTCCTTATATATTAGAATTGGAAAATCACACTGAAAAAGAAAAAGGTTAAATTCAGGAAACAAAGAATCTAATCTTGATTTCACCACTATCTCATGTGAATGTGGATAAATCACAAGCTCAGATTTTTCAGGCTGTAAAATGAATAGATTACATTACATTAGGGGTCATGAATCCATACTGTGTAACGGGGGTCTAAAAGGATCAAAGAAGCTCTTAGCAATGCAAAATTTTACACTCATTTTTCTGGGTTTAATAATCAAATTCTGAAAAGTATCAATCTGTTTTGCCCCACCCCACTCACTGACTAAGAAAAAGGTTTCTTTTAGTTTTAAAATTGTTATGATTCTTACAAATGTAACTCTAGGCATACTTGTCTTTGGAGGTGTGGTTGTAACATGGAATACTGAGGGCCACTGTGTCTGGGTATCCCTGGTATTCGGGCAGCATTCTGAGCCATTCTCATCTGATGGGCTTGGAAAGCTCCACAGTTCATATTGCCTCTTTGCATTGTTTGTACACTGATCAATCTTGGAGGCTATAAAAGGAAGAAATTGTACTTAGTTGAAAATTCATCTTTTCGATTATAAAAGGTTATACATACGGTGTTTTAATAAAATTCAATCCATATACAAAAGTATAAAGTAAAAATTGTATGTCATTCCTCTCATTTCCAGGTTCCAACCCCAAAAGGTTGTTGTTAAGTGCCTTCAAGTCATTTCTGACTCATAGTAACAATGTTCAGGGTTTCCAGGGCTTTCTTTTTAAATCTTTGAGTAAGCAGAAAGGCCTCACTTTTCTTCCACAGAGCATCTGGCAGCCTCAAACTAGGGGGTAGGCCTGAAGTTCGCAGTCCAGCGCTTATCATATGGAGACACGACAACTCCCTTAATTTGTGCTTTACTCCAAAATATTCTTATCCCTTTTCTCTGTAGGTGAGCGTGCTTAAAGCATGTTATCATTAACTATCCCACACTGGTTACAGATTGATTTGGATGGGGAATGGGATAGGAGAGATACAGGGACAGGAATGACTTGAACAAATGACTATAGAACATTGTCAGGTCTAAGGCAGAAACCATGGCTCTTTGGCCCAAGACATAACCACATGCGTAAACAAAATAGATCTGGGAAGGAGGAATGAAAGCTTGTGTACCTCTATAGTACTAGTGAATTAAGTTCTGCTTCCAATGGAAGTATTTACATCAGGTCCCTCTCTCTCTTCCCCTCCCACCACCAAACTTAAAGTCAATATTTAAATTCTGACCTTTGAGTTCTAACTCCACTATCTAGTAATTTTGAAACATGTAACAAATTTATACACTTATATTTGTTGTTAATTACCATTCAAGTCAGGTCTGACCCAGAGCAACCCTGTATAGGGTTTCCAAGGAGTGGCTGGTGAGCTTGAACTGCCCACCTTGCGATTCAAACTGATTTTGCAATCTAGTTCATTAACCCACAATGCTACAATTATACTTAGGTCTTCATAATTTGTATCAATAATGAACTGATACAATACTCACCTGTTGCTGTAACATCTGAGGAGCTGCTTGCTGTCTAGGATGCTGCTGTGTTGTTGTGGTAGTTGTTGATACAGGTGCTGGTGGTTGCTGCATCCTTATCTGTTGCAACTGTTGATGTTTCTGTGCATACACTTGTTGTTGCATGTGCTGGAGTCGAAGCTGTGCTAAATTAATCTGTCCCGGGGTTTTACTAATATGGTTTGTCCCTGGAGGAACTTGTCCAACTACAACATTAGGAGTATACCCAGGAGCTGGTTTACTCTCTATTACTAGATTACCTGAAGGATTTAAAAAATAAGAAAAAATTGCATATAATCAGCTAAATTATCTACTTTGCGGATTAATCACTATCCTTTCCTACTTCATTTACCAACTATCAGCAATCAAAGCTTCCAACAGTAAAGCAGCAATGAGAGTCAGGCTCAAAGATAATGATGGTAGGAGACTTTCTAATACATTATTATAAAGCCAATGAATGACTTTTCATTAGTATTCAGCATAATCTATTATCTGCATTCATTCTTTTTTTTTTTTTTAACAGATTATTTATGTATATATAACTAAAGATATATATATAAAAAATTATTAGAGGAGTCCCATCTTGTCAATCTAAATCAATTCTCCCCTAACAAGTCTTAAAGATACTCATGATTGCTAATACTGGTTCCATCTGCCTTCTAATTAACAAAATGCGCAGAGTACTACATTATAAAAAACTGTCTTCTGTGGATATACTGAATGCTTGAAGCCACTTATGTGCCTAGAAGTATGTGACAATTTTCCTTGCTTTTCAGAGTCCACTGCTTTCTAAGGATTGCTGTTGTTTTTGTTAAGTGCCATAGAGTCGCTTCCGACTCACATTGACCTTGTATAGAGTTTCTAAGACTGTACACCTTTCAGGGAAAAGAAAGCCTCATCTTTCATCTTTCTTCAGCATAGCAGCTGGTGGGCTCGCACCACTGACTGGTTTGCAGTCCAGTGCTTATCCTACAGAGATAAGAGCCACCACTTTTATCCTTTCTAAGAGGGAAGGCAAATTTTAGGATGTGATGATCTAAGGTAGTAAACTTACTCTATAAAGGCTAGACAATAACTACTTTAGGCACTGTATCACTGCATGCCATGTAAGATCTCTGTCACATAGTCTTTGTTTCTTACAACTCTTTAAAAATGTACAACGTTTCTCAGGACACATTAGCATTCTCAAGGTCCAATTTGGTACAGTTCCTCCATGGAATGAACAACTATATGCTAAGATTTCTATGTGAAATAGTCAATACCAGTTTTAAAGGTGTGAAGAAGCTAAAGATAGTACACATTTTTAATAACTACAGCATAAATTCTCAACTTTCGTAAAGATGCAATGGTGGAACAATATAAAACCATAGCTAGAGTTACCAAAGAAGGATATATTGTTTTCTAATTAGTTTACATGTTACTGAAAACTTGGTTTTAGATGCTTTCTATTCCTAATTCAGCGTTCCAAGTAATATTCACAAAACTAATGATTTCTCACCTAAATTGACTACATTCTTTGCCCAGAAGGTGGGATCACAATGGAAACGTATTGCTCCATTTGCAGCAGGTACAGGATCACATCGTGCTTTCAAAATATGACGCAACTGAAAAGTAATCTTAAAAGGGGGGAAATGTACACATAAGTCTTAAATACTCATTGATAGAGCATACAAGATCAAGACACATAAAATCAATCTCAGATAGGAAGGTGCCAGTGTTTAAAAGACTCTCTAAATTATCAATCAACTTCATAAGCTTGAATTTCTGCCACTTGTACTGATAAATTGCATTAAAATGTTGTTGTTGTTGTTGTTAAGTGCTATTGAGTCCAACTCATAGCAATCCTGCATAGGGTTTTCCAAGGAGTGGCTACTGGGTCTGAACTGTTGACCTGAGCAGTCATAAATCCAGTGTTTGTCTTATAACATCATACTAGGACTCCATTAAGATACTGTTGTTATTGTTATGTGCTGTTAAGTATGTTCCAACTCATTCATAGCAACCCTGTCCTGTATAGGGTTTTCCAAGAAGCAGATGGTGAATTTGAACAACCTACCTTACAGTTCAAAACTGACCTTGCGGTCGAGTGCTTGATCCTATAGTGCACACCAGGACTCCACTGAGATACTAGGTATCTAGGTTACCTAATGATACCATTCACGAAATTCTAAAAACTGGCAGAATGCCTATCACTGGTTGCCAAGGGCTGGGAGTATTAGGACACAAGGAACCTTTGGGGCAGTGACAGAAATGTTCTGTATCAATTTTAAAAGATGTAAGGAAGAAGCTAGGAATGGTACACATTTTTTATGACATCACTCAAAACTCAAATTCTACCCTTTAAAACAGTATGGTTTACTGAATGAACTACTGTCTCTATAAAGCCAGCTCACCAGTCGCTTGCTGTATAGTAGTGCCGTGCTGCTTCCACTCGCAATTGCCCAATTTGTAAAGTTCATAACATGCTTCACCTGCCGCGAGAGGCCTGTGATGTCATTCTGCTGCTGTATCAACTTCATCTGTCTTTCTTTTGTAACATTCTGAAACAAAACAAGAGCTACATTAAAGGATTCTATATTAAAATAAACTCATAAATTTTAATCACATATGGATACAATACCTATGTTTCTTTTAAAATTGGGTAAGATGACAAGTCTTGGTTATTTAATCAGCCTATGATCATAGAAAAAGTCACAGTCTAAAAGTGGGACTAAAACTTAACTCTCTGTGCTAAAACGGACACTCTATATACAGAAATGCATTAGTTGATGTCTCTTTTCTTTCAGAAGATTAAATGTCTACTTAAACTACTGCCTTGACATTAGGTCAACCCAACATACAGAGTTTATGAATAAAGAGCTAATCTTTAGAAATAATTTTATTTAACCTCAGTACACTAAATTTTCAAGTCAAAGAAAATTTTGTGTTACCAGTGCCACCTACTGATAAAGCATGAGGCGGAAGGTAAATCTCACCACTTAAGCACTTCAGACAAAATGAAAAGATGAATTCTAGAGCTTTGAGAGTAGAGTTAGGGATCTTTTGATAGGCAACTAAGCCCTACAAAAGACATGGGTATTACATCCTATGATATACTTTTGACAATCAGCATGTCAAAAGAACCTATTTACTTCTTTCTTATCTACTTCTATGAACATTTTTTTTTTAAACTAAGGAAACCAATTTATGCATTTTACAGTAACACAATCAAATAACAAAATTTCATCGTTTATAGTAATAAAATCAGTAGATAAAGTATTCAACTGAAGTTTGGTTTACAATTTTACTGGAAATCATCTCTTTCATAAAGTTTATGAAAATTTCTATTTTACTAAGGTTAGGAACCTATTTCACTAGAAAACATTCATTTTTTTAAAACTGTATTTTAGACCTATAACTAAGATGTATTTTTATAGTGAGTTTTAAAAACGTACCCACACTATAGTTACTGCTAATTGGTTATAGTGGTCTTTTTCATTGGGGGGGAGACATTATTAAAGCTAAATGCAACTGACTAGAAAAGAGGTCCCCAACTTTAACAATATGTGTAAGAGTGCCCTATCTAGCTCACAATTGTGCTTCAATGGAAAGATGTATTTCAAAAGACAGAAATTCAAAAGTAACATTGTGTTGACATAATTTACTTCACTGGTATATAACTATGTGCCTAATATTTCCATAATATATGCCTAATATTTCTACGATATACTATGAAAAAATGGATCCAAAAAACATCTACTATGCAAAATTTGAGGGTAATATAGTAATAAAAAATTCGATCGTTAAATCCTCACATAATTTAAGCCATTCAATGTTGCAACTTCCCAGATAATTCTTATTTAGAGCTTGCTGAATTAAAATCAATTAAATGTGGGTCATAGAGACCAGTGTTCGATTAAAATTAATTTGGATTTTACAAACTGAATTCTCATCCAGAAATTTACATCTAATCTCAAAATATGCAACACAAATACCTAATATCACAAAATTATCTATGCTTACAGTTTATTCATTTCAAAGTGAGCAGTATTTTAAACATATCTATGGAAGTATCTTTAAAGCCAAATGAAACACACAAATGACTCAAGCAGAAGCCCAGTATGCTTTCATAAGGAAAAGTTAAATTGAGTACCCTAGGAAAAGCAAGAAAGAAAAATAAAAGGGGCCTGGCTTCCTCTTCATTTACATTACAGTTTAATAATCATTCATTTATTCCCAAGAGAAAAATCATTATTTCCTGCCTTATACAGCTAAAATCAATGTTATAAAATTGGCTGCAATGTAACTAAGAAAAAAAGCCTGTTTTCTAATAGAAAATATTTTTGTCTTTTTAAATAACGAAGTTATTTTTCTTTTGTAGTTCCATTCCCCCCAAAGCCATTTAAAAGATTTCTTCAATAAACATTTAGAACAGCTAAAGAGCAAGAGAAGCAGTTTTTTGGGGTTTTTTTTTGTTTTGTTTTGTTTGGGGGCTTTGAACCATACCTCTAGCTGCTGTAAGAGAGATTTTCCTTTCTTATTAATTTCATTGATAAGAGTGAAAATGGCCACTTTAATTTCCTGTTCTACTCGTTTGTTAGTCTCATTTACTTCTTTTATCCTGAATAAGAGAAATGCATCATTAGATTATCAATTTATCCTATGTCTCTGAAGCATCAACTGTTACAGAAATTCATCCAACTGGGTACTTAACCAAGTAATTAAAATAAAGCTTTGTCAAAATGTACAATTTATGTTGTGGCAGACCTGACCACTCAATTTGGTTCACACAAGTTACGTATATAGACAAAGAATGGATTTAGTGCTGTAGGATAAGCACTGGACTGCTAACCACAATGTAGGCAGTTCAAACCCACCAGCCACTCCTTGGAAACCATATACAGGGGCGCTATGAATAGGAATCCCCTCAACAGCACTTAACAACAATGACAATTTTAAATTAAGCTAAAAAAGACCAGTTGCTTAAAGTCTGGATGGCAATAATCTTAAATCAGTGACATGAATTTGACATACACACAGCTGATGCAAAAGTGTCAAGTCTGACACATTAGTTGTTTAATCTTGATTCTTTCCAAGAACAATGTGCAAAAGAACAATGTTGAAACAATTATTCTCTCTTAACAGGGTAGGAATTCAGTTTAGAAGCATTTTTACTTAAAATGTAACCAATCAAAAACCAATAAGTGGGTTTTGATATATAGTCCTTCCTTAATAACATCTCAAAATGGTTTCCTAAATGTACAAAGCTAAAGGTATAAAAACATTTTCAATCTTTTTTTTTTCTTTTCATGTTTTGAGAAAAAGTTTTGAGCACTTACTGTAACTGAAAATCTCAGATGTAAATATTACATGGCTGGTAGCTTGCTAATTATAAAATAGGAACGTGGGAACCCCAGCAAAAATATAAAATGTCAACAAACAGGTAGCCTTCAAATTTCATACACTCCACTTAAACAAACTATAATCCACATTTTCAAACCCTATACTGCTTACTGCCTTTCCTTTGCCAAATTCAAATTTGAGTGCCATTAATACACTGAGTCACAGTTCTGCAGATTTTCTGGAAGCCAAGATGGTTTGGACACTAATTTGAATTTTTTTAAAATTTTGTCCTTAACATATTAAAGTCAATGAAAGACATTTTTACAATGAAACTCAGGTTTTAATAACATTACCTTAGACTTACAGCTAAAATATATTTACACTAAGTTAAAAACCACCCACTCTATAGTGAACTAAGTGCTTCCCACCCCACTTAGTGATTATAAAATCTAAGTCTCAAACTGTTAAGATGTGTGAGCCAAAGGTGGACCTAACTACACATGCTACAAACAGAAATGTGTCTCAGCAAATGCTGTTAAATTGGACGTAAGCAGTTCTATGTATTCAAGTGTGAAGAATTTTTTAAAAAATGTTATTTAAAAAATTATAAAGATAGGCCATTGAAAAATATTAAGGGGATGTATAATTAGAGATTTTAATACCTTTTTGTTTGTTTGTTTGTTTGTTTGTTTGTTTGTTTGAAACTCTCAAGGAATGAAGTCACCTATCTCCATCCCCAAACCTATCCGTCTCTAGCTCGTTCCAATCTTATAGCATGCAAACAAACCTCTTACTCTACACAGATTCAGGAACGTGCATGTACAATGTACACACACTGCTAAATGAATCAGCTCAGAATCTTATCTCTGAAAGGAATGTCCATGTATCATTTATGTAATAGCACAGCTATATCCCCTTCCTCAACCAAAGCCGTTCAGCATTATATCTTAAAAGAGCTTGGTATTTCTAAAAAATCTGATCGATGATTATATACTCCTAACTAGGACAAACTTTTTGAAGTCCCCTCATATGTATAACACTTACTTATAACTTGTGAGGAGGTTTTTTGTTTTTTTTTTTTGGTATCATTTCTTAGGATAAAGAGTTCTACACTACCTTACTTTCAAATGAATGTATAAAACACTGTTTTTATTTATCAATTCACATTTTTCAGCCATCTTAATCATCTTAAATGGATGTATTTCAATATTCTAGAGATACCTAAAAGTTCCAGTACCTGTCAATCTACCAGATAAACAAATAACCCTATTCATACCTCCAGGAATTTATGGATTTTGCTGAACCTCTCCAAGTGTCTTTCTTTCTAAACAAGGACTCTTAGCTTTGTTAACCTGTCCCAATCTCCCTAGGTGTAAGTTTTGTTTGTTTAGATATAAGCCAAAATAGAATACTTTTAAAATAGTAACAATGAGGGCAAAGACAATAACAAACATAAGAGCAGCAGCTTAAATTTGAATATAGGAATAGTACTACATTTTCTCTTCCTAGTAAAGCTAGATAGAAAGTACTGTTTTTAATGTCTATTTTAGATGGGGCAATAAACTTATACACACAGTTGCTAGTGTAAATTTTGTGATTCAACTCTCTATATATTATTTCCTTTTTTCAAACTTAACTAAGGCTCACACACTGGCCTCTCAATTATTATGAAAACCTTGGTCACTTAAACTTTGCTTAATTAACAAACATTCCAATTTCAAACTCTAAAAATCATAATGTTTTCAATAAATGCTTAATATATAGGAAAACAAATTTAAACTGGGTCTTTTGTGTTTAAGAATTCTTAAAAATAGAATTCGAGTTTTAAGGCAATACACTTACCTATTCTGCACCTGAGTAGCTGCAAAATGAACATAATTCTTCTTTTCAAGAAGCTTAGCCAGTAGATTCTCAATTGCACCTTTCTGATTTTGAAAAGCTTCTTCCAAAAACTGATACCTTAAAGTCAAAATAAAAACTGCACTTAAAACAAAAACTCTTGTCAACTAACTGAAAATCAAGGGGGCTGGGGGATTAAACAAACACCTTCATGAGTCAATCTCAAAAGTAATATTTAAATGATCAACTCTCTCTGCTGGTCACTAGTACCTTAGCCAATGTACATCTTGAAACTGTCAATTGCTGTCCAATGACCCAAACATATCATTTTAAGAGAAAAAAGTAACTCAAAATGTTTCAGTGATCTAACAAAGTTTGGTTCAGAGTAACATTTTTTTAATAGACTTCAAAGATAAAATTATAAATATTTTAATGAGAAAACACGACAGAATTATAAATATTTTAATTAGAAAACACAACTATTTTAAAGTAGAGAAAATCACGTCGTTTCAATACAAAAAAATCACTGCTGTCACTGAAGTACATAGTTCCTTAGTTATATTATGCATTTTGTAATGTACATGAAACTTTGCGTAACACTTTTTTACCGTTATAATAAGGAGCTCTGGTAGCGTAGTGGTTACGACTTGGGCTGTGAACCGCAAGGTCAGCAGTTCGAAACTACCAGCTGCTCCGCGGGAGAAAGATGAGGCTTTCTACTCCCATAAAGATTTACACCCTCGGAAACCCTGTACAGGGTCGCTATGAGTCGGTTCCGACTCCACGGCACATAACAACAACAACAACAACAATCACGACATGAAATAATTTTCAACTCTTGATGCTATCAGCAGAATTAACTGTATTTTAATGTTGTCAACATGAGTGGTAAATGTAAAATTTTCCTAATTAGTATAGTGCGGCACTTTAGGATAAGCACTAGACAGTTCAAACCCATGAGTCACTCCTTGGAAATCCTATATAGAGTTGCTCTGAGTAGGAACAAACACGACAGCACTTAACAACAGTGTAGTGAAAATAATGAACGAGGTGGCTCTGCAGGATAATCACTGGACTGCAAATCACAAGATCAGCAGTTCAAGCCCACCATCTGCTCAAGAGAAAGGCAGGATTTCTGCTCCTGTTAAGATTTACAGCCTTAGAAACCCTATATAATAGAATTGCTATACGTTGGAACTTTATGGCACTTAATGACAATAGTGAAAATTTATGGCACTTAATGACAACAGTGAAATTTTACACATTATAATTCAAATGTGAAATTCTCAGGTTACCACCTGTATCTCCATGTAAATATTCATTAAACCAACAACTATTTTTCAGTTCCTTGGATATGTAGGAGGGACCAGCACTGGAGAAGGAAATCACATTTGGCAAATTAGAAGGTCAGCAAAAAAGAGGGAAATCGTCAATGAAATGGACTGATCAGTGGCTGCAACAAAGGACTCACACATAAACAAATTTGTGGATAACACAGGACTCGGCAGTATTTTGTTCGGTTGTACACTATGAGTTGAAATCAACCAGATGACACCTAACAATATATGCTAGGTATACATGGGTAAAAAAGATCCATTGTGGCTCATATTGTAATAGGAATGAGGGACAAATTTAAATGATACCACACTGCAATGGAAGTATATACAATCTGCAACAGATACACAGTAAGTCAGCTTCAACACTAAGGAAAGCGTCACTGGAAAGTCAGAATATTAGCATTCTATGCAAGTGAAGAAGCATGTCAGAGAAACTATAAATTCTTCAATATAGCCAAAGACAAGCATGCAAAAGTTAGACTATGAGACAACAACTGATAAAATCTAGAATCAGATTGCAAAAGGACAGTTATATCACACTAATTTTTAGATTTCATTCCCTAAGGATTGGTTAACTATTAAAGAATTTTACCTAAAAGGTGATAATCAGAATTAAATTCTAGAAAAACAGAGACATGAGAGATAAGTGTACAATACTGGTGAGAACAGCTGAAATAAAGAAATTGGAACAATGGACTTTGGCAGAGAAAGCAGCTACTATGGTGATTTGGGTGGCTAGAGGCCTGGTGGAGTGCTGCACAATAATGCGCTGGACTGCAAAGTCAGTTTGAGCAGCAAGGTCAGGGTCAGCTGTTTGAACCCACGAGCCTCTCCTTAGAAAGCCTATACAGGATCGCTATGAGTCAGAACTAATTTGGTGGCACTTAACAACAATGGCTTCAGTATGGGAAGGCCCAGGGTGTGAAAATACAATTCACAAAAAAGGAAGTCAAGAAAAGATCCCTGAAAATGAGATCATGGTGTTGACAAAACTGTAACTGTCGATGTAGACTCTGAAACCACTAGGGTAAATGTGAGAACTGAGGTGAAGAGTTAAGACTATGAGCATTTAGATGGCATTTAGGTCTCATTTACGGTAAAGACTGAAGAAAAGGCTATGAGAAGCTGCGAACATAAAGAAAAGTTGGGAAAGCTCTAAGTATGCCAACTGCCAGAATTCAAGAGATTCAGGAAGAATGGAAAGCAGTAGCCGGAGAAGTATATAGCAATATGAGATCAGGGTTATTGAGAACAGCTTTCCAAAGAGGTTTTATTTTCTATACTAGAAATTATTTTAAGTAAAATTTTATAACTGTCTACGATGTGAAGTCTAGCACATTATAAATTACATAAGACTGATGAAAAACACAAAAGAAAATGGATGTTTTAACTTAAATGACATTTAAAGAAGAAATGACATACAAAATCTGTTCCTTCAGTGAAAGCACGATTTTCTTATAAAATAAAGTTTTACTATGTTGTTGTTGCCATTGTTAAGTACCGTTGAGTCGATTCCAACTCATACCGACCCTGCATTAGGCTTCTGAGAAGCAGCTGGTGAGTTTGAACCACCAACCTCACAGTTCAAACCGACCTTGCAATCCAGCACATTAAACCACGGTACCACAACAGAACTCCTTTACACTGTTAAATCTGTACAAATAAAAAAAGTAGCTGAGACTACTATACTACATTTTTTAATAAAAATTGTGCTGTAAGGAAAACAAAAACAAAAAAAACCAATCTTCTGATCATTCAAATCTGATATTATCAGCAACCACCAAAGTACTTAGCAAAGTCTGGTTACATCAACAAACAGGAAGGTACTAGGTAGAAAGTTCAATTATCATAATTCAGAAATTTTTATCTTGTACACATTACTCATTCTTAACCCCAAATAAACATGTCCTTTTCCTAGAAATATCTTGTTGTATTCATGTGAACAAGAAACAAGCAAAATTCACTATTTTTCCTATACCTGAGTAAAAAATATTTGTCCTTTCCTCCATGTTACAATTATGCTATGTGTCAACTTGGCTAGGCATAATTCTCCGTGCTATACAATTACCCTCCATTTTATAATCTGATGTAAACAGCATTTCCTAGGGGCCGGTGGGGGGGGTACTTGCATTCACATGGAACTCTTTCCCTCTTGATCCTCCATTCAACTTGTCATACTCTGGCCCCTGGTACCTGGGACATGAGCCATAAAGCAGCCTTTCACTTGCTAATATTGTCCTGCTAATTTTGGGTTCATCAACTACTGTAACCATCTGAGTCAGGAATCCAGTCTGACCTTATGGATTTGGGACTTGCCAGCCTCCACAACCGCGAGAGTTACTTCTCTGAAATATATGTGTACGTGTATATATGTGGTGCGTGTATGTATGTTTATTTGTTTAGGAGCCTTGGTGAGTACTGTGGCTGACAGCTCACACTCACCAGTTACTCCATGGGAGAATGATGAGGCTACTCCCATAAAAAATGTACAGAAATGCAATTTAAAAAAATTTAATCCTACTGGCTTATACGATTTTGATCGAATTAATCAGACTGTTTTTATGTGTTTTTTCATTATTGAGAAATAAATTCGTATTTAATACAGTTTACTAACAAGTTTTCCAAAGTATGGCATTTGTGAATAAAGGATGGCAGAGGAATAAGAGGAGGCTTATTTTAATATGCAAAAGGTTAGGAACCCCCGAAACCAGGTGGAGGAAAAAAGATGTTTGAGAAGCGCTGAGGGTCGTAGGTCAGTTGTGTGGACAAAAAGACTGCAGGCTCAGAATGTAAAAACAGCTTTGCCATTTATAAAAACTATGCTAAAGGAAAAAAAGAAAGGAAGGACTGGAGTCCTAACCAAGCAGATAAGTACAACCTCTCATTCAGTGGCCCACGGATCATAACTCTACTGCTATTGCAGTCAACCCAAATAAACTTAGCTCTCGCAAGCTTAGCAACTACAACTGAATCATTGGAAAGTTGATGGAGGAAATCACTCAAGTGTACCAGCTGTTGCTTCAAAAATTCCTAACTTCCACCTCAGCAGGGACTGCACTTTAATCAGCTCAACCTTCCCTTCCCTTCCCTTCCCCTTCCAACTTCCCACATGTGGACTTTCAAAAGAAGACATTGTCTCCTGAGAGCAAATTAAGACTATCAGCAAAATGGCCATCAAATTCTTAAGTAAAGATTTAAAACACCCTTTAAAAAAACAAAACAAAACAAAACTCAACAACAGTTAGGAATCACTGAGCTTACAAACGTTGGGATGTACGTTTAGATTCTTATTAGGTCCTAAACTCTATAGGAATGCTACTCTATTTGTCAAGTAAGTATAGAAGTATTCTTATTATTGCCAATATGTACAACCAACTGGTGGTGTTTTAGTCTGACACATTTTTGTAACTATCATCATCTTAGATTATAGCCAAACTGACTATACAGGGCAACATTTTTTTTAAAGCTGATAACTAGTTGTTTTTTTTTTTAATTAAATAAATTTCAAATATATATTAGAGGTTAAAATCTATAAAACCTACCCACTTTCATAAATCATCGACTTTTGGTCAAGTTTATGTATATGGCCACCCACTGCCCATACCCATCCTCTAGATTAGCTGGAAGAAAATTCAACTATCACTCTACACATACCAATACTAGCTCTAGCGCCTCCTCACCCTCCTTTTTTGCAAGAACTTACTGTTTTCAGGCACTATGCTAAGTATCGTATATAGATTCTCTCATCTAATCTTCAGAAAAACTCTTACGGACATGTTGCTG